GGGAGCACGGGTATGGAAGGGATCATGAACCCCTACACGGCTCTGCCCACTCCACAGCAGCTCCTGGCCATCGAGCAGAGTGTCTACAGCTCGGATCCCTTCCGACAGGGGCTCACCCCACCCCAGATGCCTGGAGACCACATGCACCCCTATGGTAAGAGGGACTCAGCCCCCACAGGGACCTTTGGCAATGCTCTTTCACAGGGATCAGATTCCCTCCCAATCATATCTCACAGTTCCTTGATGCCCATGGAAGCCCCAAAGCAGAACCAGTGGCTTCATGAAAGGGGACTAGGGTAACATCACCTCCAGCCCCAGAAGAAAGGCCAGCATCTCCTTCTTTCCTGAGGTTCTCACACAGGCACATTCCCAAAGCTTGTGAGTTCCATTTGATTTAGTAATTGATATTAACACTTGAAGTACACAAGTCCTTGCATTCCATGCCAGGTTCCAACCCCTAAATGTTGGCAAGCATCCTCAGCACTGAGACAGGCAGAAGACCTTAATGAAGCAGACATTTCCCAAGAGACAGAGAATGTATGAAAGCTCATCAAACAAATATTCCAGGTGGACAGTTATACTAAGGATGCTAGTCAGTGTAATTCATGAAACAAAAACAGACCCTTTCACATGAAAAGTAACTCCCTGCTGCATGCCAAATTGGCCTTCCTTTAAATGCTGGTGTGTACAGCAAGGAGCCCTGGAGGCGCGAACGTCAAGCTCGGGGGTTTGAACCCACTAGGCACTCCGGAGAAGCTGGATGTGGTCATCTGCTTCCCTAAAGATGTACAGCCTCGGAAACCGTGTGGAGCAGCTCTACTCGGTCTGGGAGGGTGGCTGTGACTTGGAACGGACTCACCAGCAGTGAGATGGGCCCGTGGAGCTGAGCCTTCCCGCCTGCCCAGCTTGCTGCTTACACTAACCCCCCAACAGATGGGGCTGGGGTGGCACTCCGGAATGGCGGGTCAAGTCTCATCTCAGGGCAAATGGAGACCACTTGTTTATACAGAGTGAGTGGGTGGCCAGTGGAATGCACTGATTTATGTGGAGTGGTATAAACCCTTATGGCTAGAAAGAAAACTTTAGTATCCAAGCAGAATTTGTCAAACCATGCCCTTGTGCCATCATTGGAGCTATCCATTGACTGTAGAACTCACCGTGTCATACATTCAGCAGGCGCGTCCACAGACCTGGCCCTTTGCAGGGCCTTCCTTGGGTGTCTCCATCTCCAAGGAGTCGCACAAACATGGAGAGATGTATGTGGGGCTAGACCCCTTCCTCTGCCTCCTTAGACAACATGTGTGACATCTGTGGTATATACATACATGCATGCATACATATAATTTTATTCAACAAGCAAAGTATATATAGCCTTTAATTTTCAGAATCTCAGGGGGCTTGTTACATGAAGGACTCCTGTGATGAATCCATTAGCCAAATAAATAAAGCCAGCTGAGATATTTTATATGTTGCAGTCTCCATCTGTCCCATTTCCTTAAAGTGGAGGTAAAATGTCCTAAGTCTAGTGGAGGTGCAGTGGGCTGTGGACTGTAGCACAATTTGCCAGGCTGGCTCCTCCTCAGGAGTGCAAATGGGTTGCTTCAGGCACCAGACCTGCCTTTCTTGGTAGTAAAATTGTGGGGATATAGCAGGCGATTGGGATGCCCTTACTGGTTGGAAAGATGAATATTATCATGGAAGACATCATTAGCCTTTACTGCAGAAGTGAGGCTATTTTTGAGGCCCAAGTATTCTAGGCTCCCTGCACACCCTCCCTCCCAGCACACACATATACACTTTTCTCCGGCTCCAAGCCATTTGTCCTGTCTGCTCCCCCACACTCATGGTCCAGACAGCCTGACATTTGCTTATAGCAATAGTTTTACCATTTTGTCACATCCTGGTTCATATTGTTTTCAGTTGCATCTTAGATACAGGTCCCCAGGAGAAACATTGGGGTTTTAATACCTTCTAATTTTCTCGGTCTTTAATACTTTCTAATTTTCTCGGTCACTTAAGGCACTCAGCTCCTAACCAAATGGTTGGAAGTTTGAGTTCACCCTGGGTCCCTTTGGAAGAAAGGCCTCTCAATTCTATTTCAGGGGAAACTTAAATAAAATAATACCAGCCAGTGAAAACCCCATGAAGTGCAATTCTACTCTGACACAGGTGGAGGGCGCTGTGAGCTACAGTCAGCTCCCCAGCCACTGGGTACCCGGCCTTCTGTGTGCAGACTCCCCTTCTCCTTTCTCCCACACCTTACCCAGCGCCCAGCAGTCAGCTTCTCTCGGTGGGTGGGTTTTCGGTCAACACGGGTGAGTGCTGTTGAGTCTCAGCATTGCAGTCCGAATCTCATGCCGATGTTTCATCTCCATTGCAGGTGCCGAGCCCCTTTTCCATGACCTGGATAGCGACACCTCCCTCAGTAACCTGGGTGACTGTTTCCTAGCAACGTCAGAAGCCGGGCCCCTGCAGCCCAGAGTGGGAAATCCCATTGACCACCTGTACTCCATGCAGAATTCTTACTTCACCTCTTGAGGCTTCCCCTGGAGAGCTGTGGCTAGGCTCCCAAATGGAACCACCACATTATGTGAGGGGTCAGCTGGCTTTAGAACAGGGAGGCCAGGGAAGAGGTGGGTTGGGGAGGGAGTTTTGTCGGGGATGCTGTTGTATCAATGATATGGTGTAGCTCAGCATTTCCAAAGACGGAATACATTATGGATTGCATAGTTTAATGTTTCTAATAAGAGTCTTAGCGTTAGAGACGAAGATGTGTTTATCATTAAGGACAGGGACCTTTAATATAGACATTCTCATGCAAGCTAGATGCCTAGAGACTCCTAACAACTTCCCACCACTCTGGGGAAGCTCTTGTCAAGAGATGCATATGTCTTTCCATCGATTACGCCCATAGACAGACAGACAGATAGGTAGATGTGTGTGAGTGTGTAACCTTTCATACTTTATCATCAAAGTTTATTCCTAATTATAACAGACATCAACTGTACAGCAAAAGTAACTTTATTTTCAGTGTGAACTATATTTAAGGAAATGCTTGATGCACTTAAGTTATAAAATGAGATGATTTACTTTTATAAACTTTATTTTTCGTTGGGAGAGACCGGTTGGCAGGGCACAGAGGGCTGCTCCATCCGCCCCGGAGTCTTGGGTGCTGGAGCTCATTCTGTTCTCAGGGAGCATCTTTGAGAGCTGGAAAGTAGCTCTGAGGCTGGCAGCATCTCCTGTGGGTTCTCGCCCTCTGTAGGGAGCTGGATCACTGGGTGTGGGTGGGCCAGAACAATCTCGAATCACGTTCTTAGGTACTCCAAAGCCCAGACTCCTGGGATTTCTCTTAAACTCTTGTTGTTGGGGAGTGCTGGGCAAATCCATTGTTCTCTAGAGCTCTAGCATCTTCCGATGTGGGTTGAGGCTAATAGCGTGTACCTACCTCACTGGCCACCCCCCAGGACAGATGATCAAGGGGTAGACCAATACCTACGAGAGGGTCCAAATCCAACTAAACGAATCACTTGGCTTCAGAGCTGCAGGACTCCTCTGTGGTGAGGGCAACACAGGCTGCCACAGGCCCTGCTGTGTGTTGGGGTCCTGAGGTGGGGAAGAGGCTAAGGCTCAGAGGGTGGGAGAGGACACTGGATGCTCTAGACTCTAGAGCAAGAGTCAGCAGACTACAGCCTGTTTTTTTTCCTAAGGGCTGGCAGTGAAGAAGGGCTTCCACATTTCAAAAAAGGGTTTGTTAAAAAAAATTCAAAACCCTTGTCACAGAGTCTGTTGTGTGGCCCCCAAGGCCTAAACTATTTATTATCTGTCTTTTCTAGGAACTGTTTGTTAACCCCTGGTTTAGAGGGTCTGTGTCAAGCAGGCTGGTGGAGCTCATGGTTGGAGTGGTGGCCTAGGTGGGGACCCAGGACTCTTTGTTCTGGCTCCCTCTTCAACCAGTTCTATGCCCTGTTCTCCACGTTGGTGCTTAGAATGGGATTCTAGGGTCAACCTGGAATCCTTCTGGGACATCTATCACAAGAGTCTTAGACACAGCATGATACTACCCCTTACGCTCTGCAAGGCCTACAGGGACTTGTCCACTGATGGTAGAATCTCCGTGGTGTGATTTGTGTTTATAATTGTACAACCCACTGCAAGCCCCAAGCCAGTCTGGTGAGTGAGAATCATGCCCAGGCTGTGTCGCTGCTCTGGTTGCTGTGGTAAAGATCAGTGGGCGAACGTAGCCGCTATGATGTGAGTGAACATGAGTAGAGACCCTGACTCCACTCCTTAATGGCATACCAAGATGAAATTAAAATCGTCTTACACATGAGCTGTTGTTTCTTTAGGGGCAGGGTGACGGGTAGTGAACGGGCAGAGTGTGGGTATCTGATCAACAGGGGGGTGAGAATGAGCATATGGTGCACTGCAAATGAATGGGAAGAATGCCTACAGCCACAAATAAAGATGGAGTGGTCTTCATCATCTTGTCAGGATGGACTGCAAGAGTAGAACCCAGTCTTTGCAAAGACCCTGCCCCATCCCATACACAAGGGAGGTGCTGGGCACATTTGATCTGTCTTCATACTCGCTCATGGGAGAGCAGTTTACAAGATGCTGTGGATGAACATTCACTTGGAAATCAGAGTCATGGAGCAGGAGCATTCCTCACAGCTGAGGGCCAATGCCTCACCAGGGTGGAGGGTAGAGCAGGAGGCACCTAGGTAGAAGCACCCCCAAACTCAGAAGTTTTAGATGTCCTACATGAGCTGGATGGGCAATTGTTAGGGCCATGTAGGAGACAACCCAGAAGACTGAATGTAAGACCATGAGACATATACCCAAACCCACAAGATGGCACCATGTGGGGGTAATCTTTTCTCATCCTCTTACCATTGTTCAGGACCGGCCACTCGACTTTGGGCTCCTGTGTACCCTATTGGAAGTCAACTCTGCCTCTTGCCAAGAGCCTAGAGGGAGAGAGATGTGACTTCAAAAGCCAGGCTAGGACGGCAGGAGGAGTCACCGAGGAGGCCCATATCCCTGACTGGCCTCCATGAGGCTGGCTCTGGGGCTGAACTCCAGCTTCCAAAAGGATCTTTTGCAGTAACTCATTCCCCCTTATGCTTGCCAGTGACCAGTTCCTTCATTCTCCAGGATTCAGCACTGATTTCGCCTTTTCAGAGAAGCCTGCAAAGCTGGGTTTGACGCCTGTGTTGTAATAATGAGGCTAGTCCTGTCCACTGTACTAAATAAATGCAAAAATGTCTGTGGTAGCTCAAACTCCATAGAAGTGTTTACCTTTGTTCGCATTCTTTCTGGGAGGAGCTCAGATTAGAGGGGCACCTCTCTGGGTGCATCCTGAAGGCTCTGCCGTTTTTAGTTCATGGCAACACATTTTCCTGGGCGGTTGATTGGCTCCACCCCAGGTAGCTCCAAGGAGAAAAAGAGAAAGGAGGAGTGCCAGAGGGAGGGCTCTAGGAGCCAGGCCGACTGGGGACTCATGGCTCTTGCCCCACTGTCTTTTGGCTAGAATTCAGTCACATGGGTACCACCTCCCCCCCACACCTTCCAGAAGGCTGGGGATGTGGTATGCCTCCAAGGAGAGTGAATGTTCTGTTGAGCTGGTGGCCACTTCTGGCAGGGTGCTACCCCCCCAGTTCCTGTCTTAGCCTATGACTTGCCTCTCCGCACCCTTTGCCCACTGCATTGTGTTGCCTGTTCTCTTGTCTGTCTCTCTTGCTAGACAGCAAACTCTTTGCAAGAAGAGATTCATTCTTGAGAGAAAGAGAGCAAAAATACCCCACACCTAGCTAAGCACCTTGTTTATAGACGACAATAACTGCTTTTGGAGGGATATATGGACAATTTCTCCTATTTATATTTTTGGTGCTTCCATTCAAGGCCTGATATTTCTGGGCTGACCCAAAGGGCACTGTGAGTAGTTGGAGTCCAGAACACCATGTTTGGGTATTCCTCATTGGGCAACACCCAGTCATCAACTGGAGTTGATGACTTTGTTTTTCTAATAGTCATCCTATATAATGTCCAGAGGGCGGGGCAGGCTCTCCTCCCCTTTTTCCTCCTTGCCAGCCCAGTGATAGCTATGAGTTGTTAGGTGGTTGTTGTCAGAGGCTCTCCAGGAGACACTAACTCATAGTGATCCTGTGCACAACAGAACACAACATCACATGGTCTTGCACCATGCTTATCGTTGTTGTGTTTGAGCCCATTGCTGTAACCACTGGATCCAACCATCTCATTGAAAGGTCTTCTTGTTCTATGGCCCTCTGCTTTACCAAGCATGATGTTCCTTTCAAGAGACTGGTCTATCCTAGTAACATGTCAAAAGTATGTACCAACCTGACTTCTAAAGAGCATTTTGATTGTACTTTTTTCAAGACAAATTAGTTTGTTTTTCTAGCAGTTCATGATACTTTCATTATTTTTCACCAACACCATAATTCCAATGCCATTTCCAATATTCTTTTGTGGTTTTTCTTATTCACTGCCCAACTTTCACGTGCATACAAGACGATTGCAACATCCATGGCTTGGGTCAGGCGCAGTTTAGTTCTCATCTTTGAAGACTGAGTATACCACCATACACACAAATCAAGCCCACTGCCATCGAGTTTATTTCAGTTCACAGTAACCCTTGGTAGGTGTTCCAAGGCTCCATAAATCTTTATGGGAATAGACAGCCTCATCTCTCTCCCCTGCAGCAGTTGGTGGGTTTGACCTCTCAACTTTGGATTTAACAGACCAGTGCTTATGTGACGGCACCACCAGGGTTCTTTGAGGTATGAGTAGACATGAGTAAATCCTTGTGGATGCATTGCTCTTGAATCTTTGTCCCTTACTCAGTTCATGGCTACAATTTAATAGCAATACACACTCTCCTCTTCTCTTGGCCCATTCTTGCCCTTATCACTGTATATGCATTTACTAAACCACCCACCACATAATGCAACTTGCCAGCAAGTTCTTCCAGGGGTGTGTCCACTGAACTATACTTTCCTCTCCTAGTGGCCATAGTCCTTTCGCTCTTCTAAATTTCTGTACTGGAAGCCCCCACCCTCTCCTCCAAGTCTAGGACACCCTTGACAATGCAGAGGTCAAAATCATCAGCGGTGCTGCTCTGCTTTATCTTACTTAATTTTGAGAACTTACCAGAAAGATTTGTTGATTAGCATTGAAAGATGTGTCCTCTCCTGCATCTCCAACAATGGAAGATTATATTAATTGTACAAGAGAATGTTCTCAGAACAACCACTTCCTCTTCTTTCCTGGGTTCTATCCATACAACATTCCTTTACAAACAATGTGGAGAAACAATTATTATTTAGGCGCAATACTAACACAATCACGTTAGTTGGTCTGCTAGAATATTTTTAAGGTTCCCTTTGGGTTTAAATGGATTTCTCTCCTGAAAGCGTGTGTTAAACCATCCATCCATTCATCTATCCATCCATCCATTCTCCCATCCATCTATCCACCCATCCATCCGTCATTTCTGTTTTTCCTATCTTTATTCTGGAATTCCTTTACTGAATGCTTACCAGAAGGCAAACTGGTCAGCAACATAGCCCTGGAGTGAGCATGTCTACATTCAAACCCCAGCTCCTTCGCTTACATTTGTTATTTATAGAGCTCAAGCTTCAGAGGGACTCTGAGGATTAAGGAAATAGAACATGCAAAACAC